GTGGTGGCGGAGGAGGGGGACCTGGACGGCGAGGAAGTGGACGACGGCGCCGGAGAGGTGGCCGAAGACGGGGGAGACGCGGAAGAGCATCCAAAAGGGCGTGCCGTCTTTGCGGTAATTGAGCAAAACGAGTTGCGCGGTTCGTTACAGTTGTTTATAAAAAAACAAAAATGAATTTTAGGACAATAACTTTCAAATGTGTTGAGGAAACAAAAAAACTTTAGAAAATGAAATCTGTTTTTGGAAACTGTAAACAAACAAAGCCTAAAGATATATTGTAAATATATTTAGTTTTCTAAAAATGCCAGTTTTTGTCTATATTACTATTATTATTCAAGTATCTATCAAGTTTTCATATTTTGGTTCTACCAATCAATCCCTTGTTCCCCTTCCTTGAAACTTTCGGGAAATAACTTTTGTTTGGATCATAGGTCCAACATTGTTTGCTAAATATGTAACACGAATTCAAACACGACATGGATACACAACATACACAACACGAACATGGATACGAGGATATGACAAAATAAAAAAAATATATAAAACATATAGACATGACATATATATAATATATAATATACATAACATGAAAAAAAAATTATACATTAATATGATAATAACTTAGTCTCAAAAATAAATTGTTAAGAGACATTATATTTCACAATAATTTTTTTTAAAATCTCAAATCCTCCCTTTATTATTTTTATTTTTATTTACATGTGTCCGTGATCATTTACGTGTGCCCGTGATGGAGATGTACCCAATTTGTGTGGACACAGTCCATCAAAATTTTTGAAGCATATCTATAATGTGTCCGCTCTAAAAACATGTCAAACTCGAGAAGATGACAGTTCTATGCCATATTTGTGCAACATAGCTATTAACGAATTTATAATGTTATAATGATGAAACAAAATGAGTTGAACAAAATATGATTCAGCTTAACATAGAGATCATAAGTCCATTCATATAAGTTTGAACAAACACATTGTCAAGGGTTACAAGACACAAATGTTTTTAAAGTACTTAAATGGTTATTCAATCATATCCTTTGAAAACCTTTTAACAGCAACACCAAGATACTTAATCAGCAGTCCAACTCTGCTCAACAATCTCTCTTACTCTTCTGTTGTATTCACGTTTGTTTTCACTAAACATCCGAGCCGCTTCTGAATTCGCTGGAGAGTTAGGATTTGGGTCGCAAAGCAACGACTGCAACAGGAAATCCAGTTTCATGTGAACAGAAAATATTCAGAACAATGCACAAAAAATGCATTCTATCAAAATGCTTACTAATTTGTTGAGTGATGGAATTAAAATGATTACAATAAATTCTTATGGTTTTCTATTTAAGAAGGAAAAAATCTGAGATTACAAAACAATGAAGTTGGTTGCTATTGAATTAGCACTTCGTAGATTCTTAACTAGTTGAAGAAAAAGATGAAATGGAAAGAATAAATGACTGCAAGATCTAAACTGATAGATAATTGTATTGTTCAGAGACAGATTTGGTTTAACAATTGCACATGAATCTACCTATGATACACTAATTACGTTGATCCAAGTAGTACTTGACTAGGTCCTTTTAAGCAAGGTATCGAATACAAATTTTGTGATAAAAAAATATGGTTACAACAGAAGACTTTTTAGATTGGTTGATACTCCATACCAATAACATAGTTATAAAAAATAATGCCATATGAGCTCTTTCATAACTTCACAGAAGCATAAATTCAATGCCAACATTAATAGTCTTAAAGCAATGTCAAAAGATAGAGGATAACTAGGACCTGAATTGAGGTAAGTATTGCAGCTACATCATAAATTGGGCTCCATTGATTTTGTAAAATGTCCAAGCATATGCTTCCATCTGCGTAAATGAACTAGTCAAAAGCAAATAGTACTATTCTCTTGCAGATACACTGATCCATTGGAAGAAACTAAGAAACAATATTGAAAACCAAGAACAAACACAACCACTTGGAATGATTGTGTAAGCCAATTTTTTTATTTTTTATTTTGGTGTAGAATGTAAGCCAATATATTATGCACAATTACCATTTCAAGTAGTTATTCTCATTCATGGTAAATAATTTCACAGTAAGTTCCACATTAGAAAGTCTCCAAAACTATTTGTTATGAGCCTTACAACTGGCATCATGGCACAGAAGCTAGGAGTCAAAAACAAAGAAATGTAGAGAAATTTCGGGTATTCTTATGAGTTATGAGTTATGAAATTCGAGGAACTCTACTTTCATTATAAAAATTTCCCAAACAGAGACGGGTATAGAGAAAAGGACCACTTCATTCTCTGTTCATGTTATCACATAAAGTTTAGCATGTATTTATTAGAGAATGGATTTTTTAAATATTTTAAAATATATATGTATAGCTTAATTTAAATAAATTTCAATCTCCTTTCAGCATGCTATTACCAAAGGATTAATTAAAATATACGAAAAAAGTTTACTAACTGCCTATAATGAAGAACTTAATTGCTGAATCAGGACAGAAGTAAACAACAACATATGTTTTATTTCCTAAATAACTTCTCTACGAGATGTTGCAGGAAGACAAAAATTCACCACCAACGAAGTTCAAAAAATGTTTCTCCAGGGAATTCCCAAATCCAAATTGATTTGGTGGATTTAAATAATGATTTTCAGTTCTGTTTAAAGTTGGATAGTAACCCTTGGGTGCTGAAACAGAAATAGTTCAAGTGGTTGGCATTTCAATTTCATTATGTGATTGCAGGGTCCTATACATGTTGGCTCATAAAGAGAGACAAGAAAGCAAGTTGCAGTTTCCTACTTACTGTTTGGATGAAACATTTGAGAAACAAAGCGCACTGTAGGTGGTTTATTCGGATAATCCTCGGCGAACTGAAGTGTTAACTTAAATGTGCCTGAAATACACAGAAATTTGATCACTTAAGCATACTGAAATTAGAAGAATCAATCAAACAATAAAATCAATCACCTAAAGAAGCGTAAAGTTGTGTGTAGGACACAAATACAATACTCGCACATTCAACACTAAATATCAGCATGCATCAAATAAAAGTTCAACTTTCTAGATGATTCCAAATTGGAAGACAGATAAACATTAATATTTAGAAGATTTGTAGCACTTGCATATTATTATTTTTTTTTTTGTGTTTTTATCCATGGAAATAGTTTACGCATTATCTCAAAACTGACAACCAAATACTAATTTACACTTGCAAGGCGTAACTTCTATTGACTAAAAATTATTTTAACATTGACAGAAATCAATCTTGAAAGTGCCAAGTTGACTCCCTGTGTCCGAGAGCAGGTCTTTCAAGCCAAGAGGTTTAGTTGTTAAAAAAATTATTTGATTATACTTCACAGCAAAATATTAATAATAAGTAGCTGGATACAAAGTTCAACTTTCTTCTTCTCAATCATTTGTAAATGCAAATAAACCCAAGTCTCTGACCATCCACTACACTAGGGTCAAGGTTGTGCTATTATATCAACGGGTAATATAAAGATGGTGGGTTCCTGGGGTTAGCTACAAACTAAAACAATCACAACTGATCATTATAATATGAGAAACTTCAGTTAAATGTGCAGCAGAATTATCCCAGTTATATAATGTGGTCTAAAATGTTGAAGTTCATTATAGAAAAGGATTACACAATCTTTGTTTAGGTGACTGGTGCAGAGAAGAAATTTTCATATGAACATTGAGACAACATATAAAGTTTTTTTTTTAAATAAGGTAGAAGATATTGTTGTACCTCCATCCCAAGGGGTGTCATCCGGTCTAGAAAAACAAGAAGAAAAGCGTAATTACTAATTAGACCACCACAAAAGGGAACAAACCCTTGTTAAGGAAAGAAAAATGCAGGATTTGCAAATTCTTTAGTTTAATAACATACCCAAAGATAACTGCATTCCAAAGCATAATATTATTGTCTTGGGGAGCCCCACTGATGCCAGCAGGGGGATCTTGTTGCAATCTTTTAAAATCTCTCATAAGTCTCTTCCTTGCAGGAGTTGACATCCTCACAACTCACAAGTCACAACCTATATTTCAATCAACTCGAACACAAGCAATCTTAATCAGTAATTAACAAGCCATTATGCATAGAGAAACAACAGAGATAGATAGAGATCAACATCAGCAAGCAACAGATTAAAGAAAGTAACAACCTGTAATAAATTATTACACAACACATTAAAAGTTTAAAGTAATGCAAACCCACACGCAATGAGAGATAAAAATTGATTTTACTGTAGTTCTCAACAATCAAGCCAATACAGCCATACACAATGATCAAACTTCACAATTTCCAGAATTACGTACATGTTAAAATCCAATTCCTATAGAGGAAGGTGTTATTTAACCAGGAAACAATCCTCCTTGTATGCATCAGTGAGTTTAAAGCTGGATTCTTTTGTCAAAATAACAAAGTGGGGGGAAGCATATTCATGCTTACAAATCACAAAAAACAACATACTCAAGGTTTTCCAAAACACCACAAACTTGGTTTCTCACAATCACAATCCCAAATCCTAAGAAGATCAACTTTTCCACTTCTCTCATAATAAATTTCCAAATCAGGATTAGTAAAAGGTAACCAACCAAACCAACCCATCAAACTACAAAGCAAAAGGGAATCACTTAATTTCATAAACAAACCTTGCTAGAACATTAAACACAGATATTTAAGCAAAACTGGGGTAAGGAAAAGAACAAGAAGAACCTTGAGAGAGAGAATAGTTATAATAAAAGACTACAATATATCAAATTTAATTTTAAAATATGAATCTATCTAAATTGATGTTTAGCCGAGTCAAGTCAATAAAACGAGCCGAATCTTTCTCACTCGCATTGAAAATCGTACTTACATTACATTTTTAAAGATTTTTATGTTTTTTTTTTCTTCTATAAAGTAAAAATGTTGATTAAACTTTACTGTTTATTTTCCGTAGTTGTGTTTTGATCAATCTCTTTCTTATATTTAAAATATAGGGGAAAGAGGGAACTGGTTAAAAAGATGTGAACTTGAATAGGGAATTTGATTTGGTCATTTAAAAAGTGCCTCCAAGCTTATCAGTGAGAGAAAGAGATTCTTCATCTTATAATTGAAAAAGGTTTCAACGGTCCCAATCTCAAAGGGGTGTGTGTGTCGCTTTCTCTTGTAAAATGTACTAACGTATATGTCAAAAGAAAATTAAGAATGTAACCATTCATTTGCTTGGCAACTTGCACAACTCATGATTGAAGGCTCTCACACGTTGTAATCTCATTGTTTGTATGAAAATAGAAATCTGCATGTGTGCGTAGCTACTAACCACTACTGCTAGTAGCAAACTTTGGATATCGTTCATGGAGTTAGTTCAAGTAACATTTACATTTAATACATCATGGCCATAACCTAATTCCACCAAAAAAAGAAGCTTAATATAACATTAAAATAATTTCATTATAATGTTAAACTTATGTAAATAAAAATTGATCATCTGGTTTAGATTTGGAGTCTCACTTCATTTTCTTTGAATTTTTTTATTATTATTTCAATGGGAAAGTGGTTTTAAGAAAAGCGTGGCTCACCCGACAACCGTCACCATTTTATTTTATGAGATAGGGATTGCACTTCCAAAAAATTACCTTTATTTTCAACCTACTATATTTAATTTAGAATAAATATCTAATTTGTTTGATTTGGTCTTCAAAAACTTTTGTTGATGTTACTTTTGAAAGACCAAAATATATTTACTCTTCTGCTTTTTTCTCGCATTTAAACACTATCTAATTCAACACCAAAAAAATAAACACTATCTAATTGTACATGTATTAAATTACAACAATTTCTCAACTCTTCAGCTCGGATCACTCCTTTTATAAGGGTCAAAGTACCTTACAAAAATTACCCCTCCTTATATGTTTCAAAAATTCTCTTCTATTTTATTTCTTTTAAGGATTATAGTTATATTTTATCAAAAACAATCATATTCAAATTAGATAAGACTATTTTAAACAATAAAATTCTCTATTCAAATACTTAATATAGTTATGTATTTAAGATTCAAACACAAAATATCTTATTAAGTTAGAACAATCTTATTTCGATTAACTAATGCACTCGGTGGTTAAACTCTATGGATGAGATAAAGCTTAATTAACTACCAAACTTAAAACTAACACGAAGACTTACCCCAATTGGAGAACTATTGGAGTTAGATTCCCTTTGCAGAGTTGAAGTTATATTATATCACAAACAAATCAAGATCAGAGAGTTATATGGCTTATATGTGGACAGCAATGAAAGATACACGCAAAGGAACATCCAAGAATCTATACATTTGACTTCTATTGATGTTTCATACAAGAGAGAATATATGAATATATCTTTGATACTTATCTCCCTCCGGGGAATCTACTTTTGGGTCAATAACATTGGTGCACAACAAAAATGCTTTCGGCACTGCATGGAGCAATACATGACAGCAATAATATTATAAGCAAAGTAAGGGACATATCTTTTGAGAAATGGGAATGAGAGAAAGCAAAGATGAAAAAGTGGATATTGCTAACATCCAATCTCACAAGGCTAATTTGTAGTTTTATGAGAATATTAAAAGTGTTAATAGTGATATTGAAAATCTTAAAAGGCCTCCATTTTTTAACTTTATTACATATAATATACATAAGAGGACAATGAAGTTCTTTAAAACCTTTTAATATATAATAAATTCTATATAATATTAAGTATAATTTTGCAAAACAAAAATAATTTCAAATACAAGTGCTAATTTTAAAGTTCATTTTATGAGAAAATAAGATTTAAATATTTTATCTATAAAAAACTTAAAATATATTTTTAATATCTATGAGTGAATTTTAATTTTTTTCATATAAAAAATACTTTATGTTTTATCTTTAAAGTAAATAAATAATATTTATTTTGTTAATCTAGAATTTTTTTTATAGATATCACGTGACATATACCACACACTTATATGAAGTTACAGCTAAAAGAACTATTTTATTGAAGGTACTAAATATTGTCATAAAATGCGAAAAATAATTACATCACATTAGAAATTTCTTTAACCTTTATTTTTATATATTTTTTATTATTTATTAGAAAATTTAAGCTCCTTCGTACTTTTAATAATTACAGATAAATAAAATATTAGAAAGTTACTTGTAATTATTCACATGATATTTTTTTTATATTTAAGAAATATAATGATCCACTAAAATGTGAAGATTAAAAGTGATTAAATATCTCCAATATTTCCTTTATGTATAGATACAGAAACTGAATAAAATACATATCTATATCCTAAAATAATATATTAAAGACTATCAGATCTACAATATGCTTAATTATCTACAATAAAATAAATATATGGGTCTATAATCAGTTTCTTACATAAAGAGCATCTTGCAACAATTGATTTATGATCACAAGCATGCTTGATTTAATTACTTATTTAATCTCTTAATTTAATTATTTATTCAATTCAGTCTTTCTATTATTAAATGTTCAATTTTTTTCATTTAATTTTTAAAATTGATACAATGTTATCATTTTCATCTAATTAAATTAATGTTGTTAGTTTTACAATTTGATTAATAGTTAATACATATTGGAACAGTTTAAAATCACCACTATTTTTTTTATATAAATTTTAAAATTATAAAAATTGTATTTAAAAAACTAGGTTTAAAAATATTTTTAGTCTCTATAAAATTTGCAAATTTTAATTTTTTGTCTTTGTAAAAAATTTTCTTAGTTTTTTATCCTTTAAAATTGAAACTATTATTTTTAATCTTTATTTTTTATGTGATAATTTTTAATTATTTTTTATTTATTAAAATGCTATGTAGTCATCTTAAATGTTATTTATAAGTTATAACTATACTATAATAATATAATGTAAATGTTTCAAACCTCTAATTTTGTTATAAATCCTTAAAGTAAATATTATTATTTTATCTTAAAATGGTCGACTCAAAATAATAAATTTTGATTTTAGAGAGATGAAAACTAAAGAAAAATATTTTATAAAAATTAAAATCAAAATTTACTAATTTCTCCAAAAACAATGTTTATAAAATTTAGATGGATGAAAACAAAAAACATTTTTTACAAGATCAAAATCAAAACTTATTTATTTTATAGTGACTAAAAATATTTAAGCAAAAAAATATAACTTACAAGTTAAAATATTTTTTAGTCCCTATAATTTCATTTACTTTAATTTTTAGTCTCTATGATTTAAAATAGACATTTTTAGGTTTTATACTTGTCTTTTTCAATCATTTTCAATCCTTATAATTTAAGGTAGATCATGTTACTCCTTATGCTTATAGATTTGTAATCTTATTATTCCTTATTGTTATTTTTTTTTTGGTAATATTGTGTCTTTTGTGTTGACATAATCGATATATTAGTTCAATTGCGTGTTTGATATTTCACTATATTGATTCAACTACGTGTTTGATATCAATTTTATTTTATTAGAATTAATCTAAATTATGTTTTTCGACACTCATCTTTTTTATAGTCTCATATAATATCCACTGTTGAGACACTTTTTTTTTTACTTTTCCAAAATTGAAAATCTACATCATCAACATAAAACAAGCATTACAAAAAAATAACAAACGAACTAAAAGAATTGAAAAATAAAAAATTAAGACAAAAAATTATTTTAAATTATAAAAGAAATGAAAAAATAAATATAAAATTTAAAAATGTCTATTTTAAACTATAAAGATTAAAAAATAAAATAAATAAAACTAAATAAATTAAAAAAGTATTTTAACTTAAAATAGCATAAGTTCCTTACTACTACTCTTCTCAATACACATGATACTTACATTAAATCTACACGGTTGTGGAGGCCTACCCATGTGGGCCACCACCAAAAAATCTCACAGAGAAAAAAACCTCACTTACAAAAAAGTTCATAGGACCAAAAAAACGCACAAAACCCTATAGGCTAGGACCAACCCATGGACATTTTCTTTTACTAAAATAATAAATTAAACTATTAAAAACTTATCATAATTTATTGTATAAACTAGATTATTCAAAGAACTAATTAGTCTATATCGAATAACTTCCCATTATTTATTTTTTTTTGAACAAATCTTTAAATTAAGACAATTTTTTTCAAAATAGAAATAATGTTTTTAAAAATTATTATTTGAACCAAAATTAAGATGATTTTATTTTTGTAAAATTAACCCTATATATTAAACATAAATGACTATCTTATATGAAAGAGATTATTCTTCAATAAAAACGATTTGAGAGATTTTTTTAACTTCCTATCTAATTTAACTTTTTTATTTATAAATTAAATTTTAATAATTTTAAAATAAATTATTAATAAATAATATATTTATTTACCTCAAATATAAGATATAATTTATATATTTAAAATATCTATTTATATTAATTTTAAGTATAATTTATATATTGAAATATTTTATTTATATATAATTTATTATTTTAATTATATATTGTAAATATTTAACTTATGAAATACGCGAGATAAAATACTAGTTAAGATAAAAAAATATAAACTAAAAAATAATAATTATTAATTAACAAACACTTAATCTTTTTCTAAACTTTAAGATAATCAAATGTCTTATTATATTTTATTACATATTCAAGCAATAAATATTTAGAATTTCATATGTAATCACGCCAAATCTTTAAAAAAATAACATTTTATTTTAATTATTAATTTTATAAAATTATGATATTATATTTATTTATTATAATTTTTTTATAACAATAATTAATATTATTTTATTAATATCAGATTAATAATGATTTACTTATAGTTGAATTATTTAACTCTGAATTAATATCTAGGCCAATTCAATAACTAGTTTGATTTTGAAAATATTACGAAAAAAGTGATATAAATTCACACTCAAAAAACTATATAACATCATATCAGTTTATAAATTTTTTTACAAAGTTAAATTATTATATAAAATAAATAAAATTATCAAGAATTTCTCTTGTTATTTATCATTAAAAAAATAAAAAGAAATATTTTTAACTTTTCAATGAGCATGTTTCATATTTTACATTGAACATGTAATTCTTTCAATTTATTTGGAGTTGTGTAGGTTGAAAGCTCAAAGTCCTTTCATTAAATAGAATTAAAATAAATGAGTCTTCTAAGGGAGAAAACATGGGTTAGTCCTAGAGTTGTGGACCAAATACACCTCTAATTTTTGTGAAAGGGTTTAATAGTGTCAGTGTGTATTAATCATGGTTATCAAAATTGGATTAAATTAATCGATTCAACTGAAAAATAATTCTTATATAATTTGATAGACCTGTATAATCGTCCTACAATAATAAGGTAAGAATGTCACCCTTTGTTCATTTTCTGACAAGTCAAAGGATGAACACAAACACATGCAAATGCAATGCAGCGTAACAAATGATGACGCCAACCAAAAGAGTATGATTCGATGAGAAGAGATCACAAAACGCTAACAAAACTCGTAGCAGATGGCTTCTACAAAGAAGCACTCTCCCTCTTCTCTTCTTCTTCTTCCCACACCCTTCACTCCTTCACATTCCCCACTCTCTTCAAAGCATGCACCAACCTCAATTCCCTCTCCCACACCCAAACCCTCCATGCCCATCTCCTCAAAACCGGTTTCCACTCCGACCCCTACGCTTCCTCCGCCCTCACCGCCGCCTATGCCGCCAATCCTCGCCGTCTCCTCGACGCGCTCAAGGTGTTCGACGAAATGCCCCAACCACACGTCGCTTCTCTCAACGCCGCGCTTTCCGGCTTCTCGCGAAACGGGCGTCCGGGAGAGGCTTTTAGGCTGTTTCGGCGAGTTGGGTTGGGCCCCTTGAGGCCCGACTCGGTCACGATCGCGTGCATGGTCAGTGTTCCTCACGTGGGTTTCGACCACGTTGCGCTGATGCATTGCTGCGGGGTGAAGTTAGGGGTTGGATTTGATGTCTATGTTGCCACCTCGCTTGTCACTGCGTATTCCAAGTGTGGAGAGTTAGTTTCCGCGACTAGGGTGTTTGAGGAGTTGTCTGTGAAGAGTGTGGTGAGTTACAACGCTTTCATTTCGGGTTTGTTGCAGAATGGGGTTCCTCGTTTGGCGTTGGATGTGTTTAAGGAGATGACGAGGGAGGAGTGTTTGGAGTGTAAAGTCACTTCAGTGACGTTGGTGTCTGTCCTTTCTGCGTGTGGTAGTGTACCAAGTGTTCGTTTTGGGAGGCAGGTCCATGGACTGCTTGTGAAACTTGAAGCGGGTGATGGGGTTATGGTGGTGACTGCACTCGTGGATATGTATTCAAAGTGTGGTTTTTGGAGTTCTGCTTTTGATGTTTTCATTGGTGTGGATGGGGATAAGAGGAACTTGATCACTTGGAACTCCATGATTGCGGGAATGATGTTGAACAAAGAGAGTGAGAGAGCTGTTGACATGTTTCGGAGGCTGGAATCTGAAGGGTTGAAGCCTGATTCCGCTACTTGGAATTCCATGATCAATGGGTTTGCACAACAAGGGGTGTGTGGGGAAGCTTTTAAGTACTTTAGGGAAATGCAGTCTTCTGGTGTGCCTCCTTGTTTGAAAATTATTACTAGCCTTTTGTCAGCGTGCGCGGATTCGTGTGTGTTGAGACATGGAAAAGAGATACATGGGTATGCTATAAGAACTTACATCAATAGGGATGACTTTTTGGCGACTGCTCTGGTTGACATGTACATGAAATGTGGGCATGCTTCTTGGGCGCGAGGAGTTTTTGACCAGTTTTATGCAAAACCTGATGATCCAGCATTTTGGAATGCAATGATAGGGGGGTATGGAAGAAACGGAGACAATGAGTCTGCCTTTAAAATCTTTGATGAAATGCTGGAAGAAATGGTTCGACCAAACAGTGCAACATTTGTTAGTGTTTTATCTGCTTGCAGCCACACGGGTCAGGTTGACAGAGGATTACATGTTTTCAGAATGATGAGAAGAGAGTATGGCTTGCAGCCAAAGCCTGAGCATTTTGGCTGCATGGTTGATCTTTTAGGTCGGTCTGGTCGGTTGGGTGAGGCCCAAGACCTGGTGCAGGAATTAGCAGAGCCTCCTCCTTCTGTTTTTTCTTCTTTACTTGGTGCATGTAGGTGTTACCTAGATTCCAATCTTGGGGAAGAAATGGCCATGAAGCTTCTAGATTTAGAACCAGAAAACCCAGCTCCTCTGGTGGTCTTGTCTAACATATATGCTGGGCTGGGAAGATGGAAGGAAGTAGAAAGGATAAGAGGGATAATCACAGATAAGGGATTGGACAAATTCTCTGGCTTTAGCATGATAGAAGTTGCATGAAAAATATTTGCATAGAATAACTTTAAATGAGAAGTGTTTTCTCAGATAACATAATAGTTTGTTACATTTGAGTGTTTCATCTATTCAAACTTCCATAAATTATCACTCATTCAATATTGTCTTCACTGCTAATCCGTAGTAATCGTCAAAATGGTAAGGAGGTTCGGTGACAAAACAAGAGATTACGTCTCTCAGTGTAATGACTCCAACTACTTCTTCCTGTCCATCTTCGACATAAATCCTGTGAATAGACTGAGAAGTTAGAGTATGGATCACGTCATGCAGTGTCGAGTCAGGCTTGCATGTGATGGGCTGGGTAACTTTTCCAGTTTCCCGGGACGCAGAGGCAATTTTGTTCATGAAATCCATCACAGTCAACTTCCTGAGAGTCAAAATAGAGGACAGAAAACACTTCAGTTAAGTAAGTAGTTCCCTTACAACTTTGAAGTCTGTGCAATGGCCAGAGGTGTACACCTTGTTTGTTTTCCTAAATTTACCAAATTAAAAATCACCTCATACACACTCACTCATGTATATTAAGTAGATAATCATGTGAACCCTGATTAATTCATATTGTTTTAAAATTTGTTCTCATTCTTTTGATTATCTTCAATTTTGTTTTTCCTGAAAATGCTAGTATTTTGTGTAAATCTTTTGAGTTTCTCCGTCACCATTTTAGATGCTTCTCCCAAAGTGAGTTTTATTGTTGAAACTGTAAAAAACCATTTTCATCTGATTTTGGAGTTGTTTAGTGGCATATATGTCTCCCTAATTCCTGTCAAAAATGCATACCATGCAGGTTCAAGGTTTTTTTACTTCGTCTTACCTAAAATTGGTGAAAAGCTCAGGCCTTAGCAGCAAGTATCTGACGTCTCGAATGCTCAAGTTTCCAACAATTTTCTTCTTTTGCCCCTCTACTACAGGAAGACCACCTATTTGATTATCCCTCATCTGCTTGAAAGCTTCAAGAATCAATTCACTGCTCTGGATGCTAATAACCTGGACAGGAAGCAAAATGAAGTTTTTAAACCTTCAAGCCAACGTAAGATGAAAATTTAAAACACCAATCCTTGCCTCATCAGTAGACATAAATGGAAGTCCCAGATCAGAAATACGCCTTTCTGTAATGCTGTCAAACCAATCTCTTCCTTTGCATCCCTCGAGACCTTGGACAACTGCAGACTGAGTAATGAAGTTTACAATATCAGGTTTACCTGGTTCTATCACAGGTACATTCCTCAGCCTATACTTTGAGAGAAGCAGCATGACAGTCAACATAGCACTTTTTCTAGCAACTGGAACAAAAGGTGCCCATCGATATGATTTAAGTATTGATCGTACCTGAAACCAAAAATCGACATTAATGTATTTTCTTTTTAATGTGGAGTTAAGGAAAGAATTCAGCTGACCTATAATTGGATTATTTTCTTTTATGTAAAAAAAATCCCAAATGGATTATGCAGGAATACAGTCATGGTTTTTCTGTGAGATGGATTTGAATCAGGCTACAAGCACTACAAAAGCCAAATAAATAAATAAATAGCTAACCAGCCTAGCTTTGTTGGCACTGGCCTCCTTATTAGTGAGATATCCTAAATTAAAAAGATTTCTTCCCAACCAAGGAAGAAAAATGCTCATACCAAGACACAAGGCTAGCATCAGTTTAAAAGCCAAGAACATGCACAGCTAACTCCAGAACCTCTGGCATTGTCATGCTTACCGTTGTGGACTTGAAGGGTTCTTCTTCCAGTATTACTTTGTAAAAGTCCTTTCCCAGGTTATCAGCAACTTGAGGTGCATCTTGGGCCATCATTTTATCTGCAGCAAGGCCACCTACCACTGCAGCACCTGCTGCAGCAGCTGTTAGCCCAGCAATTGCAGCAGGCCCTGTCGCTCCCAATGCTACTGCTCCCAAAGCGCCAACTGTTCCTGCCCCAACTCCGGCAGCTGTTGCTGTACCTGCTGATAGGGCAGCTGCTGCAAGTTCTGCACTCTCCAGCACCCAGAGAATGATTGCTGAATAATCTATGATACCAAGGTACCTGCTTCTCCAATCTGAACTAGTAGCTGCATCTGGGTCCTTAACTGGAGCTGCTAAAATGTTGCTTTCAGATAGAATCTTCACTGCTTCACCAACGGGCGTGTCTGCTAGAATTTCAATCACTACCAAAGAATTTTACACGTTAGTGCTTTTGACCATGGAAATCCTTGACTCACATCAAATGCATAAGGTGATAGTGATGGAATGATTACTTTTAATCCCTTACCTTTTCCGCTAGGAACTGCTGGAAAAGAAGAAACGGGAATCTTTGCAAATGCATCTGTCAACGTCTCCTGCAATGACAGTGGTAGCTTCTTTCTGGATTGTATGGTATCGAAATAGGAATCGCACTTTGAAAGCGTAGTGCTTGTTTTTAACTCCTGTGCTTGCGCCATATTGGAACTAAAAGGCATGAACTAATTGGTATTAATTGATGTTTCAATAATTTTCATGAAATTACATAATTATAGCCGTGTAATATTAGACCTTGTCTACTTCTTGGTTTCCATTGAAATAAGGCTATCCTTTTTTGTTGTCAAAAGTTAGATAGAGCCATGGGATTTTGTTACATTTTTCAACAGCATCTTTGGGACCGCACCCAACAAAACTCTTGTTTTGAACTGTGAAGATTTAACAAATTGTATTGTCATTTTGGTTAATTCATCTCTCAGATCTTAATCACCCCCTGGATTTTGTTTCTTTCGAGTATGAAAATGAAATGACAAGTGACTGAAATCTTAGATAGTTTGATAGCATGGTTTCATGTGGCAATTCTATGCATTATTACATTCTCTTTGGTCCGAAGATATACTCTATATTCATATGGGAAAGTGACTTGGGTATGATACCCCCCGCAAGATTCCCATCCGCAACTCTTCGATCTATCCATCCTCTAGATGAACTAGTAATCATAATGACTCATATATCGTGTATCATATATAACGATAGGCCATATTTTCACCTAATCTGATGTTTGAATAACATGGCTAAATCAAAATAATTGTGTATCATAACGGGTGATTTAAATTGCAATATTTGGTGAAGAATTTGTTTATCCTAGGATACATAAAATGAAACTGATCATGTCAACCGAAAAAATCAATAAACAATCATCATACAGTTTTAAACTGTTTCATTCTAAATTGTAATGCATGAAAAATAGATTTTGATTTGAAAGCATGAAAAGAAAAATACATGGAGAAAGATTGAACTTGACGTACCCGTTAGTATGAGAATGGCAATGGATTCAGAGGCTGGGAGTTTTATTTGTGGTCTATTGAAAAGCGGTTAAATCTGGTTTTTTTTGAATGATTGCTGGGGGTTGCTAGCAATGCCAAGTGTTGTACACGTGTCAAAAGCTGGTTAAACCATTTGTTAACTGCTAATTGCTTTTCATCCCTTGAAGCACCAAGTGTTTGATCGCGTCTTGCCTCTGATCTTCACACCAACAAACTCCTCTAGCTAATTGAGGAGGCCCAAATTTCAACCGTAAGCCCAACGGCCCATTATCTTATGCTGTAAAATGCAACTGTAAATGTTTTTCTTATTTATTATGGTACAAATTTTTTGGAGGAAGTCATTAGAAAACATTAATTACATTCTAACTTTTAATTAAATTAATTTATATATTGATAACTTATATGTATTTATTACAGAAAAATAAAAATATATGATAAGAAACATGAAAATTATTTATGAAAAATTAGAAATTTATTACATTTCTTAGTTTGTACATGTATAAAAACCTTGAATGAACATTAACAAAGAAAGGTAGTAAAAAATTAATATCACTCTCTAAATTAACTAAATTCTTTAATTCTACGCAATAGTTAAAATGACCTTATACATAGAATTAGAGGCAGTGATATGGAAAGTTTGATCTTATTTCATTATATAAGCTGCTAATTGTCATCTCCTCATAATTCCCAAAGGCTTACATGTTTGTTTTTCTTTCACATTTTGTTCACTTGTTACCGTAATTAACGTCGAGTCTGGCTAGTACCTCATGCTAGAAACTCCCCCCTCAAATCTGAAGGGGGATTTAATCAAACCAAATTGCATGGGAAGACCTTCATATATACTATCAAATTCTATCCATACATAAACAACAATAATAATAAATAATAAATATAAAAATAAGTAAATAAATATTGACAAAAGCAACAACTTCATTATTCAAAGGGAAATAGTATTGCACCGTCATATGATCTCAATGGAAATTTGGGAATCAAAGCCTTGAAAATGTTCACTCAAATCAACACCCTTCTTTCCTATTTGCCAAAGCAAAACCTGAAAAACCGTAGATTAACGTTCATGCATGTCCCTTGTGTAGGTTATGCCAAGCTCCCAATAAATTTCGGGTCTCCTTCGGCTTATTACCAATATCAATTTCACAAATTGAGATACGCATATATTTTAGAATAAAATTTGTAACTAAAAATTAATTTGAGTATACATCTTTAATTAATCGTGTTCAACGACGTACGATCCAAAAATATAATAAATTAATTCTACAAACATCTAATACAAACAGACACAGTGAGGCTTGATTAATTGTTTCACTTCCATTGCTCCAAGAGCTGGTTACTTCTATTAGAACACGAACCAGAGGCACTTTTAGACACCTGAAGTGGTAATGGAAACATATTCGAGTTTCTTGATGATGCACATGCTATGGTATTTTCACTACATAGCTTTGAGTTCAATTCTGCACTTTCAGTGACATGATTTTCTCTTAACCTACCACCACCACCACCTTCATTGCCAACATATGTTGTGAGAGCAGTTGCCAAAGCTGATTGAAATTTTGGGTTGCTTGTGATTGCCTTGGTTGCAGCAACAATTGGATCAGGAAAAGATTGCTGAGAAATGGTGTTGTTGTTGCTCATGTAAATAGGTTGATGGAGATGCCCTAGAGATGGTTGAATATTTCCGGTGTTTAACATGTAATTACCACCATGGTTTGTGTTTTGAGTTACTGTTCCAGTGTTGAAGTAAGCACTAAAACTGTTGATCCAAGGTGATTGAGAAATGCTAGATTGTAGAGGAGAGAACCCTGAAGAATTAAAATTAAGGCTTGTTGGTGAGTATTTTGGCACGTGAGTGAAGGTTGAATTTGAGGAAGATGGAGGTGTTGTAAGGTCAAGAGTGATTGTGGGGTGAGAATTGAAGGTTGAAATGGATGGGTTGGGGATGTAGAATTGAGGTGGTCTTGGAACTTGGTATGTAGAGAAGTTTAGAGCATTATTAGGGTTGTAATTATTAGGAGCAAAAGAGTTGATGATGGAGGATATAGCTGAATTGACTAGTCCATGTTGTGAAGTCAATGAGGGAGATTGAAGCATGGAGGCTGCAGCAGAAGTTGTGCAAGCCATTGCAGTGGCTGACATAGGAAGTGGATGATTGTGGATGCAGAAGAAGTGGTGCAAGCCATTGCAGTGGCTGACATAGGAAGTGGATGATTGTGGATTCCTTCATAGGTGGTAATCAATATGGACATGTCTTCGGCACATCTTTGCACCTGAAATTAATTAGAATAAACTAAGGTCGATTATTACTGTTCATTAAAATGCTTTGGCTTTTGAGATTTTAATATGAGCTTATAATATGTTTGGATAATTTTTTTTTTTCAGAAACACATGTTTTTTATATGTTAAAATTAGCTTAAACTAAATCAAAAAGTTAATTATGATTAACTAAATATATGAGAGAATTTTTATAAATTAATTTATGTATAAATTTATCTTAGCACTATAACAAAATTGTCATATAGTAACACACACCCTATAATGATACTATACATGTTACTAAAAATTACTTTTACTTATACAATAACTACAATATATGTTGGTATATTATTAAAAAGTGTTAGTATAGACTATAATGACACAAAATATGTTATTAAATTTCATTCAAAATCAACGCTAAAATTGTGTGTAACTATATGTCAAATAGACATATACCTACGTATATTATACCTATAGTGATACTTTTTGTATGTTACTATATGTAACATTTCTTGTAGTGTAGTCTTATTAGACAGATTTATTTCATTTATTTCTTTTTTTTTTCTCATTAAAAATGCCCTTTAATTAACTTGAAGTCATGAAAACAATCTGATTAGCCACTTGGAGTTAAGCCCAATTCAATTACGAAGTGCTAAAAATTAAAGATTTGAAGCGTGCATAATGTAAAACAAACAACAAAAACAAGTTACAGTGAAGTTTAGTGGAAATAGAGTACATTTTCTTTCCATCCCATGGCACAATTTAGAAACTCAATTTATACCAATTTATCTAATAATCCAGTTAAAATAGCGAAAACTAAGATGCAAACAAAATGAAAGAAGTCAAATTGGTTAGTAATATATGACTACATGCATCATATGTTTGTAGATTTTCAGCTCTGCTTGTTAATTATTCAATACAAATCATACCTGTTTTCTTACAGGACAAGATGGAGAAACAGTGCATCTATAGTACGCTCGGGGACATGGATTTCCTTTTGCCATTTTCTGTCCATATTTTCTCCATTGGCACCCATCATTCATCTGTGTAAAAATTCAAGAAAGTTCTAATTTAAGTTTTGATATTTAGAAATTAAGAAAACATATTGCAACATAAAGATGATTATAATCAATATATTTGTTTTCATTAGGTCTTGATTTCTTTTAATTTAAGATTATATATAAAGTATTATCACAATAAAATCAATTTTATTATGAGTCTGCTTGGATTATAAAAAAAATTAAAATAAATTTTACTTAAAAAATAAAATTAATTTTTAAAAATATCTCTCATTAATTTCTCTATCTATATTTTTTTAATCTATGAAAGTTAATTAAACTTAATTATTTCACTTTTCACATTCTTATTTTTTTATAGGTATGTAAAAATAAATTTATACAAACACACATGTGCAGTAAAGAACAAGCTATATAAACTTCTTAATATAAAATGTTACTAACCGTTTGTGCATCACATCTGGCTCTAATAGAAACCCTAGCCTTCTTCTGATCATGTTTTTGAGAAGCTTCACTTTTATCCCCACTTTTCATTGTCTTCAAAACTTTACTGGGTGGCCACATCTCAGTTGGTTCCTCTTCCTTCCCTCCCTCACCAAAGCTACTTTCAGTGCTGAGATTATTTGCATCTTCAGCTTCATCCAAAGGATCCAAATTGATATCTAACCCAAGTTCAAGTCGTTTATCCACAATACCCTCACCAATATTGGATGATATCCCAAGAGAAAGAGACACTAGTTCACTTTCTTCACTTTCCTCATAGCTAATTGTACCTTTAGCATTTGTAGCATCTTCAGCTTTATCTTGTTGAAGGATGTCAAAGAACTCCAACATCTTGTTCTCTTCTCTAGGCTCACCCTTAGCTGATTCCAGCTTTTGATCCTGCATGTGATAATGTTGATGACACATGCATATATAAATTAATGACTACAAGTTTTGTATGTGATCAGGGAGAGGAAAAGAGATGAAGGAAAATGAAAGGTATATAACTCAAGTATATATTCCTCATTGATGAGTACTGCAAGGAGAATGAGATAATTTTAACACGTATGGTCAAAATGCAATTGATTACTTTATACTTTGTGCATTGAAAAAAAGGGTTACACCATGTTGGTGCAAACGTGTGTATACTTCTTTTTACACTTTTAGGTTTGGGTCGACTCGACTTACACGATGCGTTGAAGGAGTTTATATTGATTAAGGAACATTGCTAAGTTAATCTTTTAATTATTTAATATTTATAGGAATTTAAATTTGACTATTACTTAAACTAAAACAATCAAATTACCAAAACAAAAACAATTATCCCTGCTTTTTTTTTAATATATTTTTTTTTCAATACAATCCCTGCTAGCTGATTACACATTTAGTAGTGTTTTGAAAGAGTTTATAAGGTATATATGATTATTTTTAGGAATCACTTATTTAAAAGTATTACGGAATAATATATTTTAGAGAAAATTTATAAATGTACATTTTTTAGTTATTCTTAAGAGAATGATAAAAGAAATAAATGAGAATATAAATAGTAGAAATTAATAATTGGATTATAAGATAACTTTTATTTTCATGTTGCGGAAAAAAAAAATTCATCATAAAATAAAAAAATAGTAAACCATAAAAATGTTGTTTCTTTAGGAAAGTATAATACTTGAGAATAACTATATTTTCAAAGCTTTGAAATAAATGAAATGCTATATTCACATATTTACAATTCTTAAAAATAATTTGACAACCAATAAAACAAATGCATGACACATAAAACTTGCGCATTTTCTTATATTTATTTTCTAAAACAGAATATATTTTAAAAACAACTTTTCTATTTCGTTATTATATTCTGAAAATTAGTACTGAAAATAAAAGTAAGCCTTCGCTTATTAGCCATATAAAATTATATGTCATGACATTAACTTTTTAATTTTTTAAAATCAGTCCTTTAAAACTATATAATAATTATCAAATTCATATTTTTAACATAACTTCAATTCTTTTACAAATAAATCCAATAATATTAAATTTAAATGATTAATTTAAAATAAAAATATTGAAAGTAATTTGTAAATAATCTTGATTATTTGGTATTTTTAACCCTTACTAAAAAACCAACTTATATGTGAATTAATACTCTTCTTCCAATATACAGTAATGTGAAACAAACATTATACTGTACAAATATCATGCCTCATGAACTCCAGTGGCGATGTTACCGCCCCACCTATTATATATAATATCACAAATTATTCGACTTTGACCTACTTGTTCCTGTATGCTGCTTTTTCAACATTTCTCCACAAAAAAAGGAGGAGGGGTAGAAAAATGTTCTTACATATATAATTTCAACTTCAAGTGTCTACAATTAATATACTAGTTTTTTTTATATAAAAAAAAATTTAATATTGTTTCTGCTTACCTTTTGGTAGAAAATAGGTTCCTTGGTGGATTCTTAAACCAGCTATATTCTAATAGGAGAAAAGTTAAGGATATATAAAATTACTATTGAATTGTAATTAGCAAAACATTATAAAATCGGAACCATGTTCTATTCTTTTATTAATAATTTTAATATTTTATGATTGAAATAAAAGACATTCAGTGTTTTATATTTAATATATAACTAGAGATTAAGATATGTAAGAAGATAATATTATCATTAAGAGAATTTTAAATTAATTATTCTTGAAATTAAGAAGGGTAAGAATGTTTTCTGTGAGGATAAATTAATAAGTGTTTCATAAACTTAAAATATAAAAGAAAATTAACGATTAATATATTTTAATATATATATA